TGAACAATTAGGGCCCACCAGTCAAATGGCCCGGGAAAACACAATAGCATTAGACATGACACTAGCAGAGAAAGGTGTAGTTTGTGTCATGATTGGAACCCAGTGTTGTACTTTTATCCCTAATAATACTGCTCCTGATGGAACCATAACAAAGGCACAAGGACTTACTACTTTATCCAATAAGCTAGCTAAAAATTCTGGAATAAACGACCTCTTCACGAATTTAATGGAAAAATCGTTTGGCAAATGGAAAGGATTTACGTCCTCAATCATCACCTCTCTTGCCATCAGCTCATTCTTGCAGGAGGCTGTATCATACCCTGTATCTCAGGATTAATACAAAAGCTTATTTGAACAGCTATCACCAAAATCTTCCTCAATCCTTCCTCGCCTTATTCAGGTAAGTTTCTAATTTGAGGACCAAGAGGAACAAAGACATGCTAAAAAAGTCTCAAGAGAAAGAATTATAAAAATCAAAAGGGGGAAATTGTTAGATACAATGGGTTTCTTCCTTATTCTTAAGGTCAACTTCCTCATACCTGCCTGCTCCTAGTTACCCGTTCTATAAACAACTTCTCTGGCCAATCCCAACCTGTATCCTGTTCCTTATTTGGAAAAGTTCCCTTCACTCCTAGCAACCCGCTCTGTAAACAAGTTTCCTGCCCTTCCCACAGCTGTAACCTACACCCCTCCTGTTTAAAATAGCCAATCAGGACTAGTTTAGATTGTGCTGTAGACTCCAGCCAATGGGGATAGAACACAGAAACAGGGACTACTTGCATTAGGGATAAAAAATGCCTCTCTTTTGTTTTGTTCGGTGTGCTCTTGCCAGGAATGCTAGCAACACCCTCCAGCAGAAGTAAATTTGCCTTGCTGAGAAATCTTGTGTTCCAGTGCTCGTTTTCTTTGCAACTCCAAGCTCTTACTTCCAACAAAGACCTATTAATACCAACAGGCCAATGTCAGTCCTAATGACTTATTCTTCCAGTTTTACACCCAACTTGGAAATGGGTCCTGAAATTAGGCCCAGTTGGACAAATTTTGCTGTGGGGTTTGACAGCTAGAAAGCAGAAACCTCACCTGACTGAATCAAGCCAAGATCAACACACTGGTGCACGTGGCTCCCAACCTATAGAAAGTTAATAGATCAAAATAAGCCATCTGAATGCTGGAAAAAAGAGAAGCCCAATTCCCATGAACAAGCAATAATCTCTGATAAAGATAAGCAGAAAACAAAGATATGAGTTATTACTGGGGCCAATGCATCAGACAAAACTGGCCAATAGTGTAGAGATCAACAGGGTCGATCTGATGGGGAAAGAAGCTGTATCATCAGCTGCAAAGGCCACATTTGAGTCATACAGGAAGTAGGGTGACAAACCCACACTGAAAAGCAGCTACAACCCCCTCCATAGAGCCTATGTCTACTCAGCCAAGGAAGACATGTTGGCACCACTTACCGGTTTTATATGTATATATATATTCTATTCCCAACACCCGCATTCATCCTGGTTCAATCAAAGCCTGGTTTTGGCCAACAATAAACCTGAAATTAAAAAAAACAGAAAAATGAGCTCCCATCAGTTAGATGCCCAGGGGAGATGGGACAAAGGAGCTACTCAAGCTGGCATATCAGACAGAAACTGGCTTAGAAAAGTTAGATCAACATGGTCGATCTGTCGGGGAAAAAAGCTAAGTCATCATATATGCCAGCAGGAAGTTCTTGAGTGAGGAGTAAGATTTGAAAGCCATGAGGAGTAAGATTTAGTTGGTATGTTTGGTATCTGCAAATCCGCATGCAGGGTTTAAGCACTACTGTGTTGTATCCTGTAACTGGCAATAATTTAGTAGACAAAACAAACACCCCTGTCTTCGGTGCTTCCACTCTATTTGAGTATATAGGGCCATGATAGAAGCCAGCGTGGCTGGAAGAGTTGAGGAAGTAGTCGGCATTTACTGAGTTGGGAAGTGAACGAGTGCCAAGAGGTTGCATTTTAACACAAGTTACCTGACAAAAGAACAATCTGGAACAATAAGCTTCACATGTGTTCCCATGAAGCCCAGACTTTATAAATGCCTCACTCCTGGACTCCAGCAAAAATATTAGTTAAGTAGTCGGGCACCGGTTTGAGGGGCTAGTTCAACAGAAAAACACATTTGGCTTTCCAAAATATGTCAATAAATCACCCCTCCACTTGGAAATTTAAGTGCCCCACACACAGGAAGAATGGAATCCAAAAAGATGTTTAAGTGGCACTAAAATGTTAAACGCCTTTTCATTAACAAGGTTCTCCACTTTAGGCATTTCTCTTAAACCTGTTTCTTCACCAGAAACCTAGGTCCAATAGTTAAGTTGTGAGAATAAAACATTCAGAACATTTTTTTTTTTTTGAGACGGAGTCTGACTCTGTTGCCCCGGCTGTAGTGCAGTGGCGCAATCTCGGCTCACTACAACCTCCGCCGCCCGGGTTCAGGCAACTCTCCTGCCGCAGCTTTCCGAGTTGCTGGGATTACAAGGGCCCACCACCACGCCCAGCTAATTTCTGTATTTTTAATAGAGACGGGGTTTCAACACGTTAGCCAGGCTGGTCTCGAAATCTTGACCTCAGGTGACCCACCTGCCTCAGCCTCCCCAAGTGCTGGGATTACAGGGGTGAACCACAGCGCCCGGCCGTCAGAACACTTTAAATACCTAACGGGTACTCGATAAAAACTGCTTTATTAAATCCCACGTTTTCCCAGGAAGCTAAAGCTTCTCAAAGCACGTGTTTTCTACAGTAGGCCCATAGGAGACAAAGTCTTACTCGTCAGGAGATCGAAGGTTGTAGATGTCTGCACGTGGCTTCCTTGGAGGCCCAGTGGTGACTCCCTCCTCCAAAATCCATTCTATACCCGCTGGCTGCTCTAACCTGTGAACCAACAAATAAAGGGCGTCAACCGCCATCTTCCCACGGTCAGAAATGAACAAGACCAAGCCTTTAGAGGCCGATGTATCAGAACTAACTGGCAAAATATAAGACGTCAGCATTGTCGATCTGATGGGGAAAAAAGTGAAAAGTCATCATTTACACCAGCCAAGGGCTTCTCAGGCCCGTGCAGAAGGCACTGGCTTTTCCAGCTCTATAAACTCATTTCTCCCACGCCCTTAAGGCCTGTTTGGGATCAGAGCCTGAGAAGCCACGAGAGGGAGATTAGGGCTGGCCGCGGAGACGACGGCACAAAGAAGGGAAGGGAGGACCAGGGGTCTCCAACGAAGAACATGGAGTTTCCACTCACCACCCACAAAACGGGAACTCACGGGCAGGACGATAGCGTATGAAGCCTGGCTGTAAGCCGCACAACCACCACACCGCGAGCGCCCCCGACACAAAGGAACGAATGGTCGCCTAAACCTCCCTTATATAACCAAGGATGGCTCTCGCACCTGCGCACTGGATCCGAGGCGTTCTCTTTTCCGCCCGCTCCGCGCGGGCCCCCCTGGGAAATGTAGTCTCGAGCCGCACAGCCCGAGGCGCTCTAGTAGATGTCAAGGCCGCATCTAGCCCCGCCCCCTTCCCTGTACACGCTGGGCCACCCGGGCTCGTCTGCTTCCCCGCCATGTCGCGCTTCACACGCACCAAACCGCTCGACGGGTCCCCCTTCCTCTGGGGCCGGCTGAGGCCCGCAAAGGCTCTGGGCGCAGTCATCCCGCCCCCTGCGGTC